AACAAATCATGTGCAAATATTTAGACTATGTCATCCAAAATTTCCTTTCAATTTTCTCTGCTATAAAATAAAACTCCTTTTCATCAAAATAAATTTTGGAACTATTTGCTTGTGCTAAAAATGATGGAACATCTGATTTATTTTTTTATGTAAACATCTAGAATGGAATAAAAATGTTTTAATTGTTAAAAACCAATTTTGTTTTTTCCTTGGCACTTATTCTAAAACATACATGATGCCCCCTTACTGTCATTAAATCAGAGATGGGAAATTCTCTTGATCTAGTCAGGGAAGATTAGATTCACTTTCTTGTATCAGAACTAACTTATTGCAATAACATGTCACATATTACTTTGAAAAAATAATTTTTAATGTCAAGTCTGTTATGCTGTATTTATATTTTCAAGAATAAAATAATGAATTAAAAGAATTGCTATCTTGTAAATCCAATATAACACCTGGAATTCCTTTCCTAATCTAACTTTCAGTAGAAACATTTCAAGGCATATTAAAAATTGTTACTTTCTTCTCCCCTTTCCTATATTCACACTAATTTCCAACTGATCTATACTTCCTTATCTCTATCAATATTAATATCAAACTGTTTTTGCACTACAGGTAAACATGTAAGAACTAAGTGAAGTGCCATCCCCCAAACTAGGGAAGAAAAAACCACTTGAAAACCAATGCAGATCTGAATACCTGAACAGTCTTTCTTATTTACTGTTCAGAAGTCATCTGAAATGGATTAAGAGGTATAGGTTTGGTATTTCAGAGATCCAAAGGGTTCACAGATAAATTTTCAGTCGTGTGCATCATATTCTTCTGCTATTCAGTCTTAATAGCATGACTCACTCAGCCCCAAATCCACAGTGACCTTCATTTTATCACTGCTTATTTACTTCCCTCTCCAAAGAAAAAGCACAGCAAATGTGTAGTTATGACTTGCTTCCAGTACAACTGATTTTTAGAAATACCCTTTTAAGAAGGAGCAGACCCTCTGGAGACAGAGGTGTGAAGGTTCAAAATGAAGAATGTTATGGATGGAAACACATAGTCTTCTTCATTCATTTCCTAAAATTCTTTATTTGCTATTTTTTTTCCAAATGTTGAGATATGAGTTATCTAACCTAGAAACAACATGCAGAAAAGGCAAGAGAAATGTAAACGATATCAGCTATGACAACTGAGAGATGTAAAATCTTGCAGTATTACAGCCCAAATTTTTCTAGATTTCTAGAGGAAAATCTTCATTCCTCTGATCTGGTGCAGTAGGTAACTGACTCATCGTCAGATCCTAGTGCATTCACTAACCTTGCCCGTTTCTGCACTCATGGCTATTATTTCATTAGAAATTTACATCAGTGACACACAAAAGATAAGAAGTCTCATATGACTGAAAGCTCAGTCTATGCATTCAAGTTACTTATCTGAGGCAATGATATTTTATCTTCCTTTCTCAAATTTCCACAGATTCTGCATCGCAAACACACCCACACAGACACACACACACACATACTTTCACCTGCAGATGAATAGTTTCTCTGAATTAACACTTCCAGATACCACTGATCATTCATAAGTTTTCCAGAAACCATCCACAAATAATTATTAATTTTGGTAAAAGAAGTCACTGTGGTTTTAAACACTTTAAAGATACCTTTTTAAACACAAAACTATTTTTTTGGGTTCTTTCATCAGTGAAACATATTTTGAAACACTGAAGACTTACCCCATGTGCAACAGCAGGGAATCAGCCTCAATAATCTCAGAACCACAGACAATATCTACAAAAGGATCATTTTCCATTTCTACAATAAGCTAATCTTTCCAGGACCTGTGTCTCACCAGGTTCCTAGAAAAACCTTGAGTATGGTTAATAGGGATTAATTTTATACAGAATTCTCCAAATAACATTTTCTTCAAGAAAAGAAAAAATGACTGAGAAATGGGAGGATGCTTTATATTAAAATATAATAATAATTTGTTGTCCTAACACTGTTTTTATGATGATGGCAGTGAATTAATCCATCCTCTTGACAATCATTTCACAGTAAGAATGAGAAAGCTTCGCATTTTCACAGCTGGCCTACCCTATTCTTGTCCTCACTGTGCATTTCCATGACAATGACTGTGAGCATTATAACACCATGGTACATCATGACTCTGCTTTCTGTGATGTTACTCCCAAACTGGGTGTGAAATATGTGAAAGGACAGATCTGAAATGGAAGAACTGTCACCAGTGAAGCAGAGTAGTCTACAGAATTAATAATTGACTGAATTGACAGCATGCTACCACCCAACAGAAATCTGGAATTGAAGGGCACTGACTTCCTTTATAACTGAGGGGCTTTGTGTCATAATTACTTGTCAAATTAAAGGTGTGTAAAATGAGAACTTGATCAGGTGTGTACAATTTAGTGCAAAATTAGTAAAAAATATATTTTTCTAAAATGTCTGGGGTTTTGTGTTAAATGACCACTACTGAAATTTTGGTAACTATTGATATTATGACAGTCTCAGTTCAGGCTTCCCCCCTCCTTTTTTTTTTTCTTTTTAAATGAAAGTATATGCCTGAGCTAATATAATTGATCTTTTCTTCAAATCAGGTCATCAGAATAATCAAACCAAATGAAAAATAGAGTACAGTTGCTTTAAAGTTCCCCAAAGCTTTTGCAAAGACAAGCTTACTAATGTTGTGAAATACTCACAGTAGAAAATTATGAGCACCAGAGGGAATTATTTGAGGAAAATGGGAGAAAAACTGGTAAGTATAGAGGGATAAATGTTCTCAAACAAGGCATGCAGTCACATTTTGACCACAAAGGATTGAAAGAAATTCTATTCATTGATCTCTGTAAATGTGGCATTAATAGAGTGGTCAGAGGATGAAAGGAAATATATAATAGTTTCATGAGAACATAAAATGGAAAGGGACCATGCTTTAGCTCACTGAATCCAGGCTTCTGTTCTGGCATGCAATCATGTCTATAAATGCTTTCATAAAGACAAATATGCTGTACCTTGAAACACCTTCAGCTTTTTTTTTCTTTTCTTTTCCTGTTAGTAACCTCTTTCAGAATCTGATTTATTCTTGTTTTCATTCTAAATTTACTAAACATGAATTCTAAATTAACTCACAGTCACCAAAACCTTATTTTTTCAAGTAAAATTGCAATCAATCTAAATAATTTTTATTTTTCATTGTGCTTTATTTGGAGGTGTATTTATAGACTATCATGTACCCACTTCTATTATTTATGGAAATAATTAAACAAACATATTTTATTCTCCAATACTATCCCACCCATAATGTTCAATTCTTTCTGTACAGCTTCACATATAAATCATTTTTCTTGGCTGAAAGTAACCAGAATCGCATATAGGTCAACACTATTTTCCACAGTGTCTTCAGTGCCCTTTATCCCTTTTTTTATATATATCAGCTTTTGCAGCTTAGTATTACATTCACCTTCTTTAAGACTTGACACTAGATCTGGTAACCAGTTCTTTCTCTTCCTCTCTCAGTTACAATAAATCACTAGTGATTTACAATAAATCACAGAAATTCATCACATTGTTTTCTATTCCCAAGGTTTATTCTTTATTTCTATATCCAAACCATATTCAAAATATCTAGCTCTTTCCAGACAATGTTTTCATTCTTCTGCAAAGCTTTGCATCAACAATATTTTTGCAACATATTTTTCTATTCCAAAATAATTTATGAAAAAGTTAAGTAGTGTAAAGCTGTCTGAATGCATATCTCCTCATCCCCTTAACCCTTTTAAAAGCTTCTCTTTCAATGCAAATCATTACCTCCATTTAGAAAGGTCCTTTCTCAGTTTACATTTTCTTCACATAGCTCAATAATTTTTGGCATTCTGAAATACTTAATATTTTACTAAGTTTGGTATAACAGAACATTTTTTTCAGCCTTTGAGTTAACAGACTCTTAAATAAAGTTGTTCCACTTCCTATTTTTAGTTCAGAAGATACTATTCAAATTTGGAAGCCCTCACTACCAGATATGTGTGATTTCAGAGGCTACTGGTTCCCTTGCATCACTTTCTACAATATAATTTTCAGAATTCTAATTTCAAGGGAAACTAAAATGAATTTTTTTTTCCATGCCCTCTTCCCCATTAACCATCTTACTTTACCCCTAATATTCTATGTATTTCTCTGATTTCATTAAGGAAATTAAGACTCATGTAGATTATCTAATAAAAAAATTCTGTCATAATGCAGCAAGAAAGTCTTCAAGGAGAGCAAAACTTCCTCTGTCATATATCATGGGTCACAGTTATATAGAGAATTGTGTGTTATTTAATGCAAGTTAAAACCCAAGCTCTACAGACAGCATTACATATGATGGATCAGACTTCAGCTGCCCAGGCTTCAGTTCAATTACATTAGTCTGAACATTATATGTGAAGCTCACTCTATATATCAGAATATAAATGCAGAGCTTGTTCTTACAGACTTTTGAGGAACTCTAAGTAACACACCTTGTATCTCCTAGTATGAAAAAAGCCACAGAGGATTTCCTTTTGGAGACCTTTTCCACACTCAGAGTGGAATGAATACCCTATGGAGCTTAGACTGAATTTGTAATATTCCCTGAAGCAGAACTGGAAACAATTCTGAAATAATCTGGAAAAGCCATTAGCAGTGACCCCATGCATTTAGGATTCTGGAAATTGATGTAACAGGATCAATTGCACACACTCTGTTTAGCTGAGCTCAGAATAAAAACTATTTTATCATATTTTAGAGTCTTCATCCTATATACTTTTATTTATCCTTTTGATAATAAACAAAGTATTCACAGGTAACTGGCAAGTTCACTGTAAATCTATGTGGCAATCCAAGAGGTGTCTTCCCTCAAAAGAAGAGGTGCCATCTAAGGACATAAATGATCTGCCTCTTATCAGTGCCACATTTCTGGGAATGGGAAAATAACAAACCAAAACCAAAGGAGAACAACCACCTTACCTTTCCTACATACTGAGGATCTGGTCCCATGTGTTCTTCTAAAACAAAGAACTGATTCCACACCCATCCACGCTTTGGACGATGATGCACTTCTGTTTCGCCTTCTATGTGTTTGGTTTGATTTCTGGTCACCTTGATGGAGCCATGGTGAGCAGCTCCACAACACCTCTGTACAAAACAGAGACAAACTAGGACTGGGCAGATACAAGATGTACTTGTAATTCTCATTGTAGGATAAGATTCCTGTTCAAGGTTTTCTTTCTCTTGTCCTTTTAAGCTGTAATCCTTCAATAAGTTCCCGAGAGTGAAGGCGAAGTCTGCTTCAGAAATACAGTCCAAATTAGGTTTTTCTGCTTGTTCATGGTTTAGCTGCCCATTTGGGAAAGCTCAAATTATATTTACATTATGAAAAGCTGACTGGAAAAATTGATATTTCTTCTGAGGTCTTCACAATAGAGTTCCACGGCCGACCATTTTCTATCTAATATGAAAAGGAAAGAAAGACACTTACTCATCATTAAAACCAGCAATTTTTAGTTTCTGACCTTAGATTACACTCAAAGTTGTACTAAGCACTCAGTCAAAGACTGCCATTGGAACTAAAATTTCATTTCAATGCTTCCTGTAAAAGTATTTCCTGATTTTTATGTTAAAATACAGTAAGACAGCATGACTCCCACAAGCTGTGAAAACACTCCTAATTAAAACCTGGATGATTCAGAACAGTTGCTTTGGCTTTTACCTACAAATCATTGACCTGGTCTGGCAGTAGAACAAAATCACTGCTACAGTGTCATTAAATAGTGATCGCTAAATCATTTCACATGAGTTTTTGATGTTCTATACACCACACAGATATCCAGCTTGATGAAAAATATCTAGTCTATAATGGGTTTTGAAAGAATGCCACCAAAATGGGCTTTTAAAATTCTGAGTCAATACTACAGCATACTGACAGGAAGCTTCAGTCAAAATGTGCATTTTTACACATTTTATATAAAGCACACCTTGTGCTTTATATAAATTCAAACCAACATCATCTAGGACATCATAAAATTATGTCATACTGACAGGAATTTCATGTTGTTTTGATATCAGTATTCTCAGTATATTGGCAATATTTTCTCAGCCTCAAAAAGGAAAATGTAACCTCTTTTATTACAATAATAAAATGTGAATATATGTGGAAGTTGATGTAGTGCTTAAAGCCAAGTACCTTGAAAGTAAAATATTTCTTCAACCTTAGAGAAACAGTTACATTAAAGTAACCATTTGTTCAGTTATCTGATGATGTCAAAGATTGTCTCCATATCAGTCAGTCCATCAGGAGTCTGAAAACATGCAATTGAAACTACAAAAATTGGACTCTTCCTATATTGGTCTTCTTTGAGTATCATAAAGCTACATAAACATAAACATAAACTACATAAACAGAAACAAAATTAAACTAATTTTCTTTCTAGGTTTCATAGGAACCCAACAGAATAAATTCAAAATCCCTAAAGAAGAACCAAAAAAGAATTTAGAAATCAGACAGAAAAAATACTGCAGTGGAAGAAAATTTATTAGTTGTCTTTTGGCTGAAATTTTTTTTGAACTTATGTTTCTCTCAAGTCCATAATAATAATGGAATCCCAAACCTCTTAGCTGGAAACAATTCCTTATCAGAACAATGGAAGAATACTTCAAGACCACTGTACATTAGAAATAGACAGAAAAGACGTTATTTTCTCCTACTAAAGGTCTAGAATAAGCATTTAATAAAGACCTGACACCCACCCCAAAAGAAACCTCAAATCTACCTTGAAGACAGCAGAGTGTGTCTGCAGGGGAAAGTTCAGACGGAAACAGCTCACACAGTTAACACAGAGGAGACAGAAAAGCAAAGACTAGGCAAGAAACAGAAGAAAAACAGAGGAGAAAAAAAAAAGAAATGAACTTTCTGAAATCCTTTGAATTGAAGCTAACATACTAGGATGCTGCCTGCTCATTGCTCTTGTCTGCAGCTTCAGAGTCAGTGTCTTGATTTATGACTTTTGTTATAAAGATTCATGCAGCTGCACAGTAGACTTGTGTTATAGCAATCTCCTGGGAGCCCTCATGAAAATGAGTTGTGTAGCTCAAGAGACTGTCAGAGTGAGTTAAAATTAAAATAATCAAATAAGGTGAGATGGGAAAGTTCCAACAACATTGCTGGAAATGATTACAGCACAGTAGTTACTGCTTAGTGTAAGACCCTATAATGAATTCCCAGTAAACTAACAGGAGCACAGTGATGCAAAATGTGTATATTTCACCACCACAAGGAGATGCATCTTTTGTAATGGATCTTGCCCTGAATCTCAGTGTCCTCTGTCTTCCATCAAATTGAATCCCATTTGAATTCTTCTGAATGATCGAGTTTTGCAGATGCACATTTAGCACAATTCCACTTATTTTTTATACATCCCTTTTAAGTTCCATGGTGACCGAGTGGCAATTAGCTATGGAGCTTGTAATAATTAAAATTGTTTATATGCTTTCTGACTTCTCTCTATGCCCTCTGCCCTGTAAATCTCCTCCTATCAGAAAAAAAAAAAAAATTGACTATCAAAATCTGAGCAGTTTCAAATCGCTATCATTTATATTTAAACACCCCAAAAAAAATCTTACGTCCTGGACTGCCTGTGTTTATTGCCTATTGCCAATATTTTATCCTTCAGCATGGAAGAAACAATGGTGTATTCACCTGGAGATCAAAGGCAGAATAATGCACTAGGGTCAGAAAGGAAAATTGAATGTGATTTTTTTGTTACATCCTTTGAATAAGAGTTTGATAGATTGCCAAGAGAACATACAGTACTCCTGAAGACCTCAGGTAGCTGGCAGAAAAAACAGTGACATTTCTAGGTAGATGAAGGAAAGTTGTTCATCTGTAGTTGATCTCCATTCTCTATTTCCAAGGCTGGTAGAGCTGAGCTATGGGAAGTTACACAATAAACTGAAGCACCAAGTTCTTCTCAGCCTAGGTAATAGAGAGACAATATAGAATTGTCTGTCTTCTGCACATGCTAGTCAATCTAAAAGAAGTAGTGACAAAACTGTTTTGGAATGCATTTAAAACTGTATTACATGTGACTATTTTGCCTTTTTGTTGTTTTAGTTGCACCTATGTGTATGAGACTGAAAACTAAGAAAACTAATTAAGAAAATGCTCTTGAAATACTTAAATAGTGATTCCAATAACCAAAAAATGTTTTAACTATAGTTCTATATTGGCAGACCTTCTAGAAATGGGAAACTGGACTCCCTTTTTATTTCAATAGTGTAAGGAAATTTCCATTAATTGGTAAGATAATTGCATGAGATATCAAACTCCTAAATTATTGCTAAATTTATTTGTAGGTATATTACTATTCTGAAACATAGTCTTTATCACTCTGGAAATTGATCAGTTTCCTAAAGAAATATAAAGAAAAAAGCATTGAATGCCCGTCTCCTCAACTCTTTAAGCCACCAATTCTAGCTGATGGCTGTACAGTGTTGAGGGGGGTTATTTCTTGTACCACTTTTTCACAGTTACACACAGCATTTGATAAAGAACATATCTATCAGTAAAAACCCAAAAAATGTCTGTAGTAATCTAATACCAACTATTAATTTACCTATTAAATTATTCTACATAAACTCCCCTGTACAAAATAAATAGAAACAACAACCAAAATAAAAAAAACAATAAAGGCACCTCCATGAAAAATAAAAACTGTTCTTTCATATATGGCAACAGAAATTCTCTTGTGTGAACAAAAGAGTGGATAGGGGAATAGAAAAAAAAAAAAAAACAAGCCAAAAAACAAACAATCCAACATTATAAAAAAAGAAAACAGCATGAGAAAAAATAAGATATAAAAGAGACACTGAGAAATCACTGGAAAACAAATCAAGACAGAGACGCAGATTGGAAAGTTCAAGTGGAAACAGCTGAAGCTGTAAGAGAAGATGTAAAAAATCCAACAGTACAGTGTTTATGAAATGTAAGAAATATATTTAATGCAGTTCAAGAGAAAGACAGTTGAATAAAGGAAATATGAATTGGGAACAAAAATTATGGAACAAAATTCCACAAGGAATATGGATTTCTGGAAATGGTATGCTGAAAATGGCAAGGGAAATAGAAAGCTAGTATATTTTTCCCTACCATTTTTATATTGCATACCCAAAAAGCTCTTATAACTTTCACATTTTCGCATATAATTCACAGATTAAGGCAACTGCTAACACATTTGATATAAAAAAATTAAAAAATATATACCATATGAAGAAATAAAATAGTATAAGAACAACTGTAGAGGCTTAATGACTACAAGTTGTTATGCAGTATGTGCAAAAAGCTGGGATATTCTTAGATTCAATTTACAATCAGAGAAACACATTATACAAAATTAATTACTTAGATGAGTACATGACTCTTGCTGACATTGCCCAAATGAAAATCAAGAAGAGGAAAAGAAATGCCCTCCTTTTTGTTTTTTTTCTTACCCATTATCTCCTATCTACCTACAAGGAAAGAAACACTTATACCTAAAGCTCAGGAAGAAACAACAAACAGCAGACATATCCTGAAATGCTATTAAAGGCAAATCACATATTTTTTGGCATTCTAAAACAGCAAAACCAAAACAACAGAGAAATCTTTCTCATGGGTAGGCAAGCTAGCTGGTCCTCTGAAAAGAAGTTTACATAACAGAAAGACAATTTGGCATTACAGATGTGGGTTTTACATGCCCTAATGTTGTAATTAGATACCAAAAAATAGTCACTGCAAAGGTAAAAATAAGTTTCTCTGCCCATGGGATTTTTTAAAGGTAACAGTAGAATTTAGCTGCAGAGTCATCATTAAGTTGTTTTAAATTATTTCAGATAGCAAAGTGTGATGGAATTTTCAACACCATCCTGACTGACATATACACATCAAATAATCCACACTTATGAGACTCCATTCCTCTTACTGCCTTGGAGCTCCATGGAGAAAATGTCAGAAGACTCCATAAATTCTACAGGTTGTAGCACCTAGGATTTCTTCCAGAAGTGTTCATAATCCAGGCTATTTTTTCAAGCGTAAAGCCTTTCTCTTTTTCACTTTCCAATTTTTCTTCCATTTGAGGCATATACTATTTTCAAATATTCCTTTTACCTTCAGTTACATATTACATAAGGTTTATTGATAATTATTTTTTTCTAAATTAATATTTCTTGTTTAGTGACTCAGCTCCAGTAGCTTTGAAGTGACAGAAACTGATATATTACTATTCCGTAAAGACCACAGAAAATAAATCTTAGCCATCTTTTTGGATTATCAACTGCTGAATAAGTAATTAGCTTATAATTATTTCACTAGTTTTCAGAGGTTTAATTGAAAGATAGTGGATTTGTTCATATTTGCACTGTTTGGTTTTAGACAGCTTGTACCTAAACCTCTAACCCAGCACAAGTACGGATTCT